CCTGATCATGATGTAGACCCAGATCACCAACCAGTCCCTTCAACCATATTCCCTCCTTAGCAGCTTCAGTCAACGCCATATACTCTGCCTCAGTAGTAGACAATGTCACCGCCGACTGCAAAGTTGCCTTCCAGCTCACTACGGAACTCCCAAGAGTGAATACATAACCGGTCATCGATCTCCTCGTGTCAACATCTCCAGCATAGTCCGAGTCAGAATACCCAGACACCAAGCACTCTGTATCACTTCCGAAGCTAATCCCCACATCAGGTGTACCCCTAAGGTACTGAAAGATCCTCTTTACAGCCTGCCAATGCTCCTTTCCAGGTTGTATCATAAACCTGGTGACAACACTAACAGCATGTGCAAGATCAGGTCTAGTGCATACCATAGCGTACATCAAGCTACCTACTGCACTAGCATATGGGACTCTCGACGTGTACTCCTTCTCAGCCTCCGACTGTGGTGCATAAGCTGAGGATAGATGAACATTTGAAGCACTAGGAGTATTTAAGGGCTTTGCTGAAGACATGCCAAACCTCGACAGTATCTTCTGGATGTAGCTCTTCTGTGACAAGAAAAGCTTCTTCTTCAACCTGTCCCTGTAAATCTCCATACCCAAGATCTTCTGAGAAGCTCCCAAATCCTTCATCTCAAACTCAGCACTGAGAAGCCCCTTTAACTTCTGGATATCAGACTTCGACCTCGCAGCTATGAGCATATCATCCACATACAGAACAAGATAGATCATCGAACCATCCTCCACCTTGTTGTGATACACACAACAATCATATGGACTTCTGCTATAGCCCAGCTCAAGCATGTAACTGTCAAATCTCTTGTACCACTGCCTCGGAGACTGCTTAAGTCCATACAAGGACTTCTTCAGCTTACAAACATAGTCTTCTTTTCCAGGAACCTCGAATCCTTCTGGTTGAGTCATGTAAATTTCTTCCTCCAACTCTCCATGTAGGAAAGCTGTCTTCACGTCTAGCTGCTCGAGCTCCAAGTCATAATGTGCCACTATTGCTAGTAGCACTCTGATCGAAGTATGTCTGACCACTGGTGAGAAAATCTCATTGTAGTCAACTCCTTCCCTCTGCGAGAAGCCTCGTGCAACCACCCGAGCTTTAAATTTCATGCCCTCTTTAGAAGTGATTCCTTCCTTCTTCTTCTAGATCCACTTGTTTGTAACAATCTTCCTTCCCTGTGGTCGTTGGACTAGCTCCCAAGTCTGATTCGTGTCATGGGATTCCATCTCATCTCCCATTGCGGCAAGCCACTGATCAGCTTCGCCACCCGAAACTGCTTCTCTATAGGACTGTGGCTCTCCTGCATCCACTTCTTTAGCAACCTGAAATGAATACGCCACCATGTCCTCGAAGCCATACCTCTGTGGAGGTACTCCTGCAGTCGCTCTCTTCGGTCTACCGGAAGCAATAGACTGTTGAGCTCGTGCACTGGACTCTGAAGTTTCTGGCTCTGCAGAGACATCCTCATCATGTTGATCTTCTCCACCTTGGTGCTCAAACTCACTCTCTTTGAGAGTTTGCAGCTCCACCTGCTTATCAACATTCCTGCTACCTTCAACAACAGTAACCTTCAACATGGGGTTAAACATAGACTTCTCATCAAATATCACATTTCTACTGAGTATAACTCGACGCTCAGAAGGTGACCAGACTCGAAATCCCTTAACTCCATCTCCGTAACGCACAAATACACCCTTCTTTGCCCTTGGGTTCAGTTTACCCTCATCCACATGATAATAAACAAGACACCCAAAAACTTTTAGTGAAGAGTAATCGGCAGGCTTACCATACCACACCTCATAAGGAGTCTTCAACTCAATACCTGTGTGAGGTCCATGGTTGATCAGGAAGCACGCCATGTTCACTACTTCTGCCCAGAATCTTCTCTCTCGTCCAGCATTAGAGAGCATGCACCGTGCTCTCTCCAACAATGTCTGGTTCATCCTTTCTGCAACGCCATTCTGCTGGGGTGTATCTCTCACAGTCCGATGATGGGCAATCCCTTCATCCTTGCAGAATTCGTTGAACTCAGAATTACAGAACTCTAGACCATTGTCCGTTCGCAGCTTCTTGATCTTCTTCCCGGTCTGATTTTCCACCAATGTCTTCCACTGCTTGAACTTCGTGAAAGCCTCATTTTTCTGCTTCATCATGAAAATCCAAGTAAATCTCGAATAATCATCAATAATAGACAGAAAATACCTGCTGCTTCCAATGGATTCAACTCGTGAAGGACCCCAACAGACGGAGTGGAGGTAATCTAGTATCCCCTTCGTGCGGTGGATACCCTTCTTGGGAAACTTGCTGCGATGTAGCTTCCCAAACACACAATGCTCGCAGAATTCCAAATTCTGCATCTTGTGCCCGCAAAGAAGATCCCTCTTCGACAGAACTTTCATCCCCCGTTCACTCATATGCCCCAGTCTCATGTGCCAGAGAGTGGTCATATCTTCCTGATGAACCTGAGACGATGCAACTGCAGCAGAACCAGACAACACAGACCCTTGTAATGCATACAAGGTCCCACGCTTCGCGCCCTTCAGCACCATCCTTGAACCTTTGCAGACATACACAACTCCACCTTTTCCTTTGAAACTGAAACCCTTACTGTCGAGTAGACTCAAGGAGATCAGGTTCTTTGTCATTCGTGGAACATGCCTGACATCATTCACGGTACAGAACAAACCATCATGTGTCCGAACCTTTATGGACCCGATTCCAACAACCTTGCAGACAGCTCCATTTGCCATGACCACGTTACCACCATCTATCTGCTCGTAGGTTGTGAAGCAATCCCTGTTCGGAGACATATGGTATGAGGCTGCAGTATCCAGAAACCACACATCCCGACGATGTGCCTACTCATCTACAGCCAAGGCGAGATCGTCTTTCGAACTGTTGTCCGCTTCTGCCACGGCAACTGAACCTTGTTTCTTCTGTTGCCCTCTTCTCTTGGGACAGTTGTACTTCCAATGCCCCACTTCCTTACAGTTGTGACAAGCATAACCTGGCTGTGGACCGGGACCCTTGGAATTCTTGTTCGAATTCCCTTTACCAGATTTCTTCTTTCCCTTTCCACCTGTAACAGCCAAACCCGATGTCTCACCACCTGTACCAGATCCGGACGCCTTATGCCTGATCTCTCTCGTATGAAGAGCAGACCTGACATCCTCCAACGACACGCTTTCTTTACCAGCAATAAAAGAATCAACGAAATTCTCATATGAACTCGGCAAAGAAACCAGTAGGATTAGGGCAGCATCCTCGTCATCAACTTGAACATCTATATTACGCAGATCCAGCAAAATAGAGTTAAGCTGTTCGAGATGTTCCCTCAAAGGCGTACCTTCTTGCTTCCTCAAGCTGAACAACCGTTGCTTGAGATGCAGCTTGTTGGTTAGAGACTTAGTCATATACAGACTCTCCAGCTTTAACCACAAGCCCGCGGCAGTCTTCTCAGCAGCAACTTCAATGATGACGTCATCAGACAACGATAGCATGATGGTCGAGTGGGCCTTCTCCTCCAGGGTATTCCACTCATCGTCATCGACCGCTGTCTTCTTCTGTTTCGCAGACAGCAGCCCCCACAGCCCTTGCTGTTTTAATAAAGCCTGCATCTTGATATGCCATATAGCGAAGCTGTTCTTCCTCGTGAACTTTTCGATCTTCATGTTCACCGATGTCATTCTTCTGAATCGAAAAACCTAGCCTGATACCACTTGTTATAAACGCGCTGCTACGGATCGGGAAATAGCCAGAATCGACAAAGCAAGAATACGAAAGCGAGAATCGAAAACACGACACACGATTTACGTGGTTCACTAACACTATGTGTGTTAGACGGGCGAGAGAGAGCCAGTTTCACTATATCAAGCGAGACCCCCGATTACCAGTCGTAGCGGCTGATAGTCCGATTCAAGTCATATCAACACTTCCTCAAGGAACAATGTGGAATATCAAAAGCGGAGCCCAAACAAGATTTTGGGAGGATTGCTGGCAGCAGGATGGCCCATCCCTAGCTGAATTTGCAAACGGATTGACAGCTGATGCTCGGAAGCTCACTGTCGCAAAATTGGTCCTTATGGAGAGTGGAACCTGCCGTATGATCGGAATTTTATCCCTGAGCCGCTGGTTATGCAGCTGATGCTTCACCCAGTCCAAGTCGAAAGCGGCCGCGACGTCCTAACTTGGAGGTTATCTTCTACAGGGCTCTCCACCATTAAGTCGGCGTATGAGCTGCTGCGAGGGGAGGCGGCAGGTGGGCAACACCATCCTGTTTGGTGTCATGCTTGGCCCATTGAGGGTCCCTAGAGGACGAAGGATTTATTTTGGCTGTAACTTCATAACAAGTTTCTCACCAATGGCGAGAGATATAGGAGGCACTTAGCCCAATCGAACACCTGCCCTTTTGTGCAAATGGTTCCGGGGACAACGATGCATGTGATTCAAAACTGTCCCTATGTGCGGGCAGTCTGGTCGGAGGTTCTTAGTGATGAGCCGGACCAAGTTTTCTTCGAGGAAGACAGCACCAAGTGGGCTTTACACTACCTGGCGGGTCGGAGCTCAGTAATCGGCGCATCCCTCTTCGCCATTCTTTGCTGGAAATTATGGAAAAATCGCAATGGATGGGCCTTTGATAAAGTGTTGGCACCGACGTGGCTTCTAGCTCGACCAGCATGTGAGATGCATCAACAGAGCCAAGCTTCCTTTGGCAAACTACGGCAGGTCGTGGACATGAGAAGTGAGAGGCATATGAGAATTGTTAGCTGGGGAAGACAACCGCCTGGCTGGTTCGCTCTTAACACCAGCGATTCAGTGATTTCATGGCCTAAGTTCAGGTCCTTAAGGCCTTTTTTAAGGAGGATCTTCAAGCGTTGTGATAGGCTGATTCAATTTTTGGTAGTTAAGGAGGAGGTATTAGTTAATTAGTTGTTAAAGGTATTTAAGGAATTGTAAATAAATTAAAAACGTAACCCCAACCGTTTATAAACCCTTGTTTTATTTTTTCCATGATCCGCAGCCGAACCATTTCTATTGTCGTCAAACAACGTTCCCCGTCCTCCTTGTCAGCTGCAGTCGCCGGCCGTTCCAAGCTGTCCTCACCTAATTCCCTTCTCCCAGCTGATCCACTTATCTCCATAAATCGATTGACCCCTCAACTTCCGCTGCAGCGAGAAGCAGCTTCGCCTTCCCTTCATCGACAGCCGAGAAGCGTGTAGCTTGTTGGCGTCCCCAACGTTGCAGCGAGCAGCAGCCTCGCCTTCCCTTTGTTGACGACTGAGAAGCATGCAGCGTTTCGACTTCCCTTCGTACCGGAGTTCCTTCGTATTGTTCGCCGCAGGAGCAGCAGCCTTCGTGAGTGAGATCCCGATGTCTAACTTTCTTTCTTGTTTTTCCTTCATCGATGATCGAACATCGTGAAGCTTCCCGGCCTCCCGACACCTGACTTTGTTTGTGCAGTTTACCAGCTTGGTTACCGTTTGTCAAGCAAACATATATTGTCGTTATCAAATTTTTAATGCATGATTATGAATGTCAAATGATGAGCATGTTATTAATAAATTTATCATTTTTCAAAGGTTCGTATTCTCGTCGTGAACTCGTGATGATGATGATAAAATTAGTGAATTATGCATATGTTTTGAACTTTGAGAAGTAGTAGTTTAAAAGATTTCATGAGCCATAAACACACATTCATATGTTATCGTCATCAATTTTTTTATGTGGCATTATTAATATGAAATTGGACGATTATCAAATCTTCACCAATAACTTTTGTGTTAGAATAAAAGGCATGCATATGTTATTATTATCAATTTTTAAATTTGCAGTTATTAATAAACCCATCGTCATATACTTTTTATTGCTATCCATATTTTAATGTGGTATTATCAATAGACTATTATCAATTGTTGATTAAATTATATTAAAAAGTATGCATATGTTGTCGTTATCAATTTTCTAATGTGTGATTATTAATGCTAAATAACACTAGCATCAACGATTTAACTTCATTAATTTGTCAGAGGTTCGTAGGAGGAGTGGGTTGCCCGTCATTCCAGTGTCCTACTTTCCTCCGTGTTGCCCATCGTCCCGGCGTCTTTCCCAATGATTTTAATTTGTTTGGTTGTGTCATTTATCTATGTAATTTACACTATTATTAATGAAACGGTTAAACTTAGTCAACATTCATAAGTATACTTCTTGTGTTTCTAGTGTCTATCTATGTTTTCATAGTTAGTTGTCAATTACTTTAATTTAGCCCATATTGTAAACTTATACTTTGGTAGTAACATGCTGATAAGTCAACCTTAACAAAAGAGAATGAATCGTTATCAAAGACTATTAGTTGAGCTATTAACGTATATCTTAAGAATTTCCATCAATAGTGTGTATATCAAACATTTAAGAGGTACTATTACCAAAATATGAACTATCACTATTTATGTTTCATAGAGTAGTTTATAACGTTTTAAAGATTCATTATCAAAATATGAACTTATCACTATTAATGTTTCATAGAGTATTTTATAACGTTTTTTAAGATTCATTATCAACACATTTCGTTCTTTTGATAGGATAAGCCTAAATTCTATCAGAATAATTAGCTAGACAAATACGGTTATCAATTTTTCATAATAGCATATTAATGAAACATGTTGAGGTTTTCAGTTTTTAAACCGTAATAGCAAAGAAACAATTAGATAAACATTTCATTAATAACACTTTGGTTCGAGGTTATTGATGAAACATAACGAGGTTAACAATTTCTAAGAGCGTAATAACGAGGAATCAGTTAGATGAACATTTCATTATTAAACCTTTGATTCGATATTATTAATGGAGCATAACGAGGTAGTCATTTTAATCCTTAATTATTATTATTTTACACTACATTATTAATAGTTTCTATAGATGTTATTATTTACGCTTTCATCCATGTGGATAAGTGATTATGAACGAAGCATGTTTTTATCAACCAATTTGATGTTTTATTATCAATGACATCTCGTCGTAGTGTTATAGCAATCATTATCAGACCAAAATACAATTATTAATTTTTTATTAATATTATTAACCAATCAATAACAATGAGGTAACAATTATATCATATATCCCACGAATCTGGAAGCAACCAAATAAAATAAATGGGGCATATTTGTTATTAAACAAATGGAATTAATTAGTAACCAAATATTAACAAATTGAAAACAGACTAGTTATTAAACAAACTGAATTTATTAGTAACCACGTTTTGTTATTAACAAATTATAACCACTTTATTAATAAACTATTACGATTTACACCAGGAGTGCTACCGGCCGGTGAAGAATGGCAACAATCACAGTGCGGGGAAGAGAGGTTTGTGGGCGCCCGCCGCCACTGGACGAACGAACGGAGAGGAAAGGGGCGCCGCAGCGCCAGGGGAGTGGGAAACAGCATAAGGGAGTCCGATGTAGGCAGGGGTGCCGCCATCGTAACGAAGAAGTTCTCTTCTGCAACGCCGGAGAAGTAGAGATTGTGCGAAGAATTTAGGGTTCCGAACAAAAATTGTTTCTGGCGGCGATTTTTTGGTTCGTGGGATTATTTTTTATTATTATTAATGCCATTAATTATTATTTATATTCCATCTTTCCCTTTTAGTTAGTTAATTAATGATAGGACAAAAGCGTAAAGCCTTAATCCTATCTCGTAGTAATCCGGAAAGTCCGTGTATCGTCTCTCAGGGACTGGTACAACCTTATGATTTACCGATTCTATGGGCCAAACTATAGGTGAAAATGGTTTGGTTGATGAGATTATCAACTAATAGCAAAATAATTAAACTAATTAAGAAAAGTAAACTTGTCGGGAGAAATTCAATTGGAGAAAGCTCTGGGAGAAACACTGGGACTCGCTACCTATCATATCCAAATTAATTCACATATGCCAATCAATTTAATCCAACTCTCTACAGCTAGGATATCACGAATGTGCTAGCTATCCCTGTCGGAAATTACTACGTACTAAACAATTAAATCAAATCCTACTGTCGTAGCTCAATGACTTAATTATTTAGCCTGAAGATCGATATCCCATTTAAGACCGAATAGCACCTTATGTAATCCACTGTCGCTTCGATAAGTTACTATGTCACATGAAATATGTTCAGTCATTAGGATTTCACTGTCGCTAATAACCTAATTAACTACAAATCAATGTAATGGTGGCCAGTCAACACATAGTATTACGTAATTCCATGCAATACAGATTGGAAGAAAAGAAATACGAATTAATCCATTAAGTCAAGAAATAGTTACATCCTATGGTGTTTCCCCCAGAAATTGAGGTTTAGTTCATGATGAAATTGAGATAAATCGATAAAGTTTTGATCATCATATTCAAAATCAACAATAAAAAACTAATTTGGTTTAGAAAATCCAACCAAATAATCACTCTCGTTGAACTCAGCTCAAGCCGCCTTGGAAATCTCGACCGCCAATTGCACTCCTCCTCTCGTCCCGAGCTTCCGCTGCGCACTCTGCCTTTTCCTTTTCCCAAAAGAATCTCGTCCCCCAGAGAATTAATTCCCCCTGAGATTGGTTCCATCCAAAATATATATGTCCTCCCCCTGGCCTCGTGTTTTTCTTCAAATTCCAAGTCTCTGGCCCACTTCTTTCCCCCTCTTCCTTTGACAAATAATTTGGGCCCATTTAATCAAAGAATGCCCCTCCTCACTTCATTAAGTTTGGCCGCATTTTTCTAGGGAAGTAGGGTCACTTACGGCCCACTGCTCCTCCTAGCCCAAGTGAGTGTTCCACCAGTGATTCGAGCCCGATTGATTGCTTGTGCACTCGCTTCTTTTTCGTGCTTTCTCCACCTGTAACATATCAAACTCATGGCACTAGGTAGTAATGTTTTTCTACCATTCCCGGGTTAGCGAGCCCTAAAATACCACCAATTGGCTTAAATATATCATGGGATAGTCACATAAAGTTCAAGAATCCGATATATTAAAACCGATTATCACAACCCCACACTCAATTGTTGCTTGTCCATAAGCAACAACTCAAACAACACAAACACATAAGCATCTACAACAATGACACATCACAGACTCACCAATCAATCACTCGACACAAAACAAAATTTTTCTTGTACTCTTGTTGTAATCAGTAGTTTCTTTCTCACAAAGGACAAGTTGTGCTTTAATGATCATACCTTTCACCCCACACTCAAGGTCTTTGCAACCATTTAACATTGACTGACTCCAATCCACAAAAAAACTCAAATAGCAACACTCAATTTCGATCGCCAGTAGTGGGTGGTTAACAACTTATGGTGAAGCAGTTATTAGGAGAATCTAACCACATCAGTGAGGTGCATATCTCGTGAGGACAAGGAGAGTCTCAAAAACAAATGGGGGAAGCTTTTAGCAAACTTGGTTTTAACTTTAAGCACATCACTACCTTTCTTGACAAGGAGAGGCTTTCTCTCTTTCTGATTTTGCTTGCCGAGTTGTCGTATTTAGTACAAGTGGAATTTTTTTCTTACTACCGGTGACCGAGAAAGAGCAATTTCTGCTTCTTAGCACTCGCATAAGGGCTTCTTTTAACTCCTTTTTCTCGGTCTGTGTGGAGGGTCATTGCACATCCTCTAATGGCACTTCACTCAACTGGGGATCGTACTTGATAAGCAACATCGTACGGTCGCAAACCGATGCTCAACTGAACCTTTCCTAATCCCCCTGTGCAATGAGTGATTGCCTCACACGATTTTGGCATTTTACCCATACTTTAATTGTTATGGCAACTTTCTTATATTTTACTTGTCAGGTAGGAATTTTTTTCCTTCTATAAAGATAAAGTTCACCCCATATAAAAACTTTCAAAACAGAGAGACTCATTGCAAAATCTAAAGCTCACAACTGATGCAAGTAAGCACGGCATCCAAACATGTCGAATGGTCAATGTTCTCCACCTAAACACTTCACCAAAAGTCATTACACTATCCTCACAAAATAGAGTGTTGCTAAAAGAGCTTGCTCATTCAAAGCATATCCAGTCAGTCAAACTATTAAGCTCATTGTGAAGAACTATGCAATTCAACACTAGTGGGGTGATTTCGATGATTTCATTCAAGCACAAACTCATTTCACACGCATCACACTCATTTACATCATGTTACCACAAGAGTACAAGGTTTTGTTTTAAAATTTTCTAATTTTTAGGTGTTTTTTAGCCATTAGGTTAGCACAGGCAAACTGCACCAGCACAGGTAGACTGCATGCAGTTTGGCTGTGCACAACCCAAATAACAGTTTTTTTTACCACATGCATTAGGGACAAACAAACACTAAGACTCACCACCTCACACTCAGGATGGAACAATGTCCCTAATGTTCAACTCCTAATCTAAACATGCACGGGTTTGACACAACAAAAAAGAAAAAATAAAGAAAAGAAAACTCACCTTGGGTTGCCTCCCAAGAAGCGCTTGTTTAACGTCCTCAGCCTGACG